ATACGGGCTCAAGAAAACGTGATTTGAAGTTGCGTTTTGATGCCCATGTTTTTTGTTGAAAAATTGCATAATAAAATACGTGGCTGTGAAAACGCGACCTTAAGTCGCATATTGAGCCAGCGTTTTCGTCGTTCGGCAATTTTTTTGCAAAATTTCCTGACTTTCCAAAAATTATACTTATTGCCCCAATTGCTTAAAATGCATCTTAAGTCATTCTTTTAATAAAATAATCAATGCATACACATGTCAAATAATCAAAACATGCATTTTATCCCTTTCTAACAAACCAAAAACAACTTTTACTCAAATCGAGTGGTGGAATTTCTTAATCAAATTTTGCCTCTTTCACCTCATTTGGTCACCTTTGCTCCTATTTTCAATACCTACAAAAGAAAATTGATAAAATAATTTAAACACATAATTTAAACATAAAATCACACCAAATTAACATAAATTACGAAAACATTGGGTTGTCTCCCAATTAGCACTTTTATTTATAGTTGTTGGATCGACTATATAATCTCATTTTTCAAGGAGATTTTATTAATGAATAATCTTGTGAGAACCTAGAAATTTTACCAATTTATCTAGTTTAACTACATGGTACTTTATTTATTTGGTTATTTATTGATTTGATGATGATCTTGCCTTAATATTTTTATTAAATTTTACATGTGAAAGTTAATGTGTAGGGTAAAATGAAAATTTCTTTTTTAGTGGGGTGTAAAAGGAACTTTTGGAAAGAAAAAAAAAGGAAGGACCTTAGTGCAATAAGAGAGAGAATTGGGACACTTGGAGTTAAAGAGTTCTAGAATGTGACAAGTGTTAGAACACTTGAAGCTAAAGAATTCTAGAAGGTGACAAGTGTCACAATAGGAACCAAGTGAAACCTTTGACCAAGCTTCTTTATTATTTAACAAGCGTTACAATAGGAACCAAATGAGACCTTTGACCAAACTTTCTTATCATTTAATTTTCTTTTCTTGCTTAAAAAAATCAAGAGGAAAGGAGAGAGGGGGCCGAGAGCTAGGAAAAAAAAAAAGAGAACAAAAGCTCAACTTTCTTCCTTCATTTTTTTTTTGCTTCAAATCTTCCACAACTTTGGTTGATTCTTGGAATCTTGCTTGAGTTTGGAAGAAAGTCTTGGTTGGAGGAAACTTGGACTTGTTGCTTGGTTGACATTGCTAGGAGAGGTATTGGCTTGAAACCCTCTTTTCCTTCAAGTTTTTAATAGATTTGTAGTTAGAAAAATTGAATCTTTAATGGGTTGTTAATGGGTTTCCTTAAAACCTTGATTTAGGTAGATGACTTGAGGAAAATTCCTTGTATTTTCATGGCAAGCTAGGTAGATGACTTGGAGTTCATTTTGTGCTTTTATGATAAATGTTTGTGGTAGATTTTGGTGCTTTAAAACTTGATGTTGTGGTTTGTGTGTATATTTCTTAGAAAGCTTGAATCTTGGTTGGATTTTGTTGCAAATTTTGGTGCAAAAATTCTGTTTTGAAAGCTTCTTGCTAGCCGAAACTTTTGAGTGTTATTAGCCCTTATTTTTCAAGAAATTTTGGGAGAAATCTTACTTCACAAACTATGTTGGATATTAAACTTTGATTGCGAGTTGGATTTGAACCAAAATCATGAGGTTAAGTGGGAAGGTTGAGTCAAGTGTTGCTGAAAATTTTGTTTCGCAGGAGACTCTGAGCAGTCTTGGAAAATCTATCATATCTTGGTGTAAAAAAATCTAAATTGAGTCTTGTTTGTGATGTGAAATTAGATTCAGAATACTTTATACCGTAAAAATTTCAGAATTTTTCTCAATTCTTATGAATATCTGTGATTTTTCAAAATTGACTGAATTTCCACACTAGATGAAACAGCAACTTGAGGTTGAAATTTGACTGACTTGTGGACAAAATCTTACAAATGTGTCTTCTGGAAAATTATAACCCTTTGAGTCTATTTTCCAGTGGTATAAAGTTTATAATTTTGGACTTAAGAAACTTGAGATATGATTTTCCAAATAGCGGCGCACAAAAATGGAGAAATTCTGTTTTCTTAAAATTGTTCTTGCTTCCATTTCTAACTTCAAGTTGGAGTTGTTGAATCATTTTGAGCTTGGTTTTATGTTTAGAATGGAGATAACTTGGGTGGTTTGGGGTGATTTTCTTTCAAGTAATGTGACTTGGCACAGTGGATCTCATAACACTTTATAAATGTGATTTTAGAACGTGGAAGTGAGGTTGAAAGTGCACACGAGGCGAACACATAAACTTGTGTCATGGTAAGTGTTTCATCTGCATATTCCATGTTCATTATTGCTAGGAATTTGCTAGACACTTGATTTGACAGTTCATAAGCGAGTGTATACTTTATCGCATTGACTAAACACTTGATATTTGATTCATGCATGCACAAGTAACGTGATTTACATGTGACTTGTATCTTGATTTGAAATACTTGAAATACGTGAAACCGTGACATGCTGAGTTTGCTTGTGACTTGATTTTGGTTAGGCAAGTGTGTCCTTATGTGCACTCGACTCCGTGAACTTGAAACATTTGATCTTGCATGTGGACGAGCATGTACATGTGCATGATTGTAAACCGACTGTATATCTTCTTGCAGTAGTTGAACTGGGCCCTTGAACCCTTATCCTAGACGTCGGATAAGTTGAAACTTGAGTTACTCATACGTATGTGTAAATGTAGGTCAGTAATTGTTGAATTGAGCCCTCGTTGGACTTCATGCTTGAGACCAGTTTTAGAGCGATCGGATAAGTTGGGCAACCTTGGGTAAAGGACAAAGTTCCTAACTTGTTTACTCATGACTTGAACTCGTGAATTGAACTCATGACGGAGTGTTAGGTGACAGCTAACGGCTCCAATCATTACCTGCGTGAGCATTGGGTGACAACCAACGACTCCACTCATGAATACTTGATTCTAAATACTTGAGGTTTTAACCCATATCATGAATACTTGAATACCTGGGGTTATAAGCCCGACCCCATGGCTAGTTGATTGAATCGAGCCGGTATAGGGTTTGGTCGAGGAGATTGATGAACCATATATACTTGATTGGCGTTCGGGCCTGGCAGGGGGATGATCGGTAGACGGAGAGTGACGTTTAGTGGTGATCTACAGACATTATAATTTCTCGGTTGACGGAGAGTCAACGAGTCTCGAACAAGCAGCTGTGGAACCTGCTCCTGAGAGCAGCCTGTATCCTTTTGACGTAAATGTGTTCTTTACCGTATAAAGGCCATTCACAAGGAGAAAAAGATAAAAATAACCACAAGATGCTCAATTAATTGCTAAAAACCTGGCAAAACATGAGTGGGGAATACGGGGCAAAACTGAAATAAACAGCAGTTCAAATAGCTATTGCAAAAGAACCAACAGAGAGTCGTCTTTTTTTAAGAAACCAGCAAAGAGTCAACGGGAAAAGATGCAAACCAAATAAGTGGGAAATGAAAACAAACTAAGGTCGGCAGGAAATAAAAACAAACTAAGGTTTAGTCCCCCGGATTCTCCCCATGACCCGTTGGATCACACTCCTCCTTGTAATATATATAGTAGGAATAGGTCTATCATATTCGATAAAAAAAAAAAAAAGAGATCGGCAGGACGAAGGTAGACAAAACACCCATATTTAATAACTGATAACAAGCATTTGTATGAACTCAAACAAAATTGACATCAAAAATAGCAAAAAAGGTGAATGCATTGAGCAGTCATAATTCCTATTGCTTACATGTTGAAAAAGAAAAGTTGAGAAAACCAAAAAAGATAATCCGGAAAAAGTTGCAATTAGGGCAATTTTTATCAAGAATACCAAAAATTCTTCCAAAATCACCACATCAGTCATCTAAAGATCCCAGCTAACCAGTTGTAGATATCAGAATTTCTATTTTTGTACTTCAAGAATAAATTGTTTTAGACCTAACAAACCAAAAAAGCATGTTTTCTGATTACATGCTATTAGAATCTACGATGAAGCATAAATCCATGGTGCACTGTCATTTTTAAATTCTAGAATGACAATCAACATGCGAGATGACATAAGCATATCAATATACACTAGAATCTTAAAAAGTCACATTCCACTGCAGAAAAGGATGGTTGAAAAGCAATTTATCTTCACCTAACTATGCGTTTTACCAAGACACAATGAAACAATGACTGCAAGCTTTTAAAGGAACTAGGAGGCGTAAACCGCACTACGCGCAGTGGGAAGAAAAGATGGAGATGCCCAGTTTAGTAAATGATTTGTACAAATTCAAAATGGATCCGTTAGTGGAATTTGTTTGTTTCTGATGGAATTTAGTTACAGATAAACCAAAAAATATTGAACCAAATTAGAGTAAACTTTAATATGGTGAAGGCATCCATAAACCAGCGAAGGTTGATCTTTACCAGTAAGTAGGATGAGGATGGCTACATCCTTGCGGGTTACAACATTCAGGCAGAATCAAACAAGATTTCAGCTCATAATTCAGTAAAAGTCAAAGCCTTCATCTAAGTATGTAATCATGTAAAAAATAGGAAGTGTCGTCCTTATTAATGAACCAGAACATTAGAGAATTTCAACATTTAGGCAGAATCAAACAAGATTTCATCTATAATTCAGTAAAAGTTAAAGCCTTCATATGAGTATGTAATCATGTGAAAAATAGGAAGTGTTGTCCTCATTAAATAACCAAAATATTAGAGGATTTTGTCCAGCTTGCCATCAGCACTTGCTGTTTCAAGGCTAGGTTGTACTATGGTTTAGTTACGAGATCCATCAATTTCCTAATGATGCAGCTACTTAAAACTTATAAACATCATCAAGGGTTAGATTTTGCTATCTTTCCTTGCTCACAAAATAGTGAAAACATTTACTGGAATATAATTCTTAGGCTTTTAGTGCAGAAAGTAGACCACATTCCAAATCTTCATGATTCATAAGAGAACTCAAATATATCAAAAGTTGGAAAATCATGAAAGGATGGATACAAATTTCAGCTAACAATATAAAAATCAATAATCACCAGGGGGTGGTACACTTTCTTAGTTTACATAATCTGACTAAAGGTAAATTTTGAAGCTAAAGCACCGGGAGTAAAATTTTTCTATGCCTTTCCTCATGAAAATAATAATAGCAAAAGAGGTTCTAAACTGGGGAACAAATGAATGAGTCCTTGCTTCATGGAGTCTTCTATATTGCATGCTTAGGAACTTCCTGTAAATAAAGAATGCACAAATGGCAATCAGCCTGGGAATGAGTACCATTTTGTCAACTATTTACATACAAGGAGTTTGCTCTCACACCCTCCATAATCACAAAGGGAAAATGCCATTGATATAGCATAGAATTACCAAATATAATTAACATCAAATCACTTTATGAAATTGATGAACGAGGGGTATACATATAATGATTAGTTCATCCACAGTCAAGTTTTACATTTATAACATCGTAATTACCCCACACCCAATTTTTTGCAAGTATACGAGTCATAGAGTATAGTGTATTAAGGGTTGAACCCACAAGAAAGATTGTCAATTAATGATGGTTTTCAAACTCCTTTATCATTTAGACTATTATAAGTGTAAGAAATTAAATCTACAATATAAACGAAAAATAAAAGTAATAAAAATAACAATAGAAAACTTCTAGAGGTATGGAATTCCTTACTATGCATGCAAATGAAATTACCGGTTAAGTGAATGCTATTATCTTGGCTAGTTATGGTGTAATTTCCTAATGTATGCGAAACCTACTCTCGTAGTGAATCAACTATACTTGTAATTAAACTATACCTACTCTTGTAGTTATAAAATTAACTACAAGTTCATTTCTTCTATGAAATTACATGAAATAAGTCACTTAAACCACAAAGGTATTCCTCTACCCTCAAGAGTGTAGTTCCTAGGTTTATCACTTCTTTGAACTAGTGTTAAATCTCAATTCTCATTGCAACTTAATACCTTAAAATTATCACAATTAATAGCCAGTTAATCATGATTAAATAAGCAAAAGTGATAAATAACTTGTTCAAAATAATATCACTAAATAATCAAATAAATATCACTAACAAGATATAAAAAGTTCATCCATAATCTAGACATAAACTTTAACTAAACATGAAAACAAATACCAAACTTGTATTATAGCTAAGCAAGAAATCAAATACAAAAGAGAAAGTAATAGAAGAAATGTCACCATTGTCACATGAGTTTCAACCTCTCCATCTTTGCTCCTCAAATCTTCATTCAAATCAAACTATAAGTACAAGATTGAAAAACCACACTAACTATACTAATCTACCCTAACTAATAAACTAAAGAAATTCTAGTGAAGACTATATTTTTTGTGAAGTTTCTCTAATCTTCAAAGTTCTCAAAAATGCTCTCCAAGACTTCTATTTATAGAGGAATTCAAGGTCCAAATGAGTTGTTTCTTGCTGGCAAAGTTGTCCCTTGAAATCACCAAAGATTGCTTCTACAAGATTCTACACTTGCTTACTCATATCCAGCCGAATTTCTTACAACATATAAACTACTATGTGAGGGGAATTTTTTTTTTGTTTTGGCAGTATAATCGGATATGGCTATTTAGTAGTAACTTTTAATTTAGTTCTATTTGCAGTAATACGCAATCTAATTTCTACACCTAATGGGGGTATTAATATTGATTACAGTTACTGAAGGCTTGTAAGTACTTTTTGTGGTTTAATCCACCAATGCTGGAGATGATAAAAAATATGATGGCAAAATTCTTGAAGGAACTAAGAAAACCCGAACAAGAGAACTAGTTCATGAAGATTGAACTTGCAAGGTTGGAAGAAAAGAACAAGATGATGAAAGCTGAAATTCAAAAGCTAGAAGATAAGAGCAAGTTGCTTGTTGGCAACGACAAAAGAGGACATGCTGTCATGGACTTGGGGCTCCAAATTTTAGTTTAGATGAATTAGGAAAACCTATGTAGTCAGATTTAGCGTTTTGTTCATGAACTTGCAAGGTTGTTATGATTGGCCTTAATTTTGTTTGGTTATAGTGTGGTTGTAAGGCATTGTAAACCATTTGATGTAGCAATTGTCTCAGTTATATATGCAATCGTTGGACAAATTGAGAGGTTGTGGCAGCTTGGTGCCTAAAAAATATTTGGCAGAATTGCGCCTTAAAATTTGACATTCCCTTAACATAACTAAACCAGGTAGCACCCGACAAATGTCTAGCCGAAAAGACAATAGAAAGTGTTCATACAACCAGCACGTTCTAGTCATCCAAAAAAGATCAATGCCAATCTCACAAGATTAGTTCATTCTAGCCAACAAGATACTAGTCAAAGTAAATGTTTTATCTTTTCCATGTGAAATCTATATGTACTTTAACAAAAAATTTCACCATGCCTAACTCCGTTCATGCCCCACTACAACTATACAATATTGGAAAATAAATCCCCTCTCCTTCAAATCCTTCCATTATTTATTATTTCACCATTCCAATATACTAGTGGCACCAAAATCGACCAACTAATACATACAGATGAAGAGAACTAGGTTTGCAATTATGGTTTACTTGATCTTATTAATGACTCCGGTTGATTGTTGCCATCCCTGTCACCATCGCTATCGTCCACCGTTAGAGCTCACGACGTTCTTGGTTCAATTCTGGCCTCCATAGCAATTTCACCGAAACCCTAGTTCTTCTCCCAATTTCCCTCCATTACATTCTATTTTTTAAGGTTAATCGCATGGGTAGGGTATTCATCGATTAATTGCAGAAGATTAGAATGTGATGATTATGCCTCTATAGGTCCACGCAATGGAGTAAAATGTAGTGAAAAGTCCAACATTGGAAGTATAAAACTTATCCAAGGACTAAATTGATGAAATAATTTATCAAGGATGAAATTGGTTTTAGTGAAAATGTTCAAGGACCAAATTGGCAAAATTCCCTCCAAAAAAACACCTTCCACGGCAAATCACATATTCAATTCTTGAGTCATTCACCATTGATTAGCATCAGGAAACACATCCTAAAGCGTCATAATCTAGAATTCCCAAAGCACCAAAAGTAAAGAACAGTTCAACAAGTTGCTCCAAAAAAATATTCTTCATCAAAATTCCATTGCAACTCTTTCCATTCAGTAATGCTGCAAATCAACAAACATTCCCCATAACAAAAACAAACAAAACATATTCTATAAGGATTGCTAACTTCATGCACAAAAACAAGTTTGTCTTCAACTAAAATTTCATGAATGTTCAGAATTTTACACATTAACTAGGCAAAGAGCCTTCAATTTCTATTTTAAGTAAACAATCTACTAGCCATCCTATCCAAAATTCGTATTACAAGTAAAAATAAAAGCTATAACTAATCTAGAACTATCGCAAACTGAAGGAAAACAAGATTAAAAATAAAAAAATTAATTCATCAAAATTAAAAAAGGACAGAGGTTATAGTATAGACACAAAAAATTAAAACAATGAAGACATTAATTAATCCTTGATATACTTACCCGTGAGGCTGGAGATTTGGAGGCAAGAATCTAAAAGTACCTACAACCAAAAAACCCAAAAAATAGAAATATTCAATAACAATGGATAAAGTCTAGATAGTGAAAAAAAATTGAAAAAGAAAAGAAAAGAAAAAAAGGACATGGGAGGAGGCCAAAACAATGGTCATCCTTTTTGGTAATCTTCCTTGATCGTTGAATGTTGGCTGTTGGACGTTACTCATCTGCGTTTTTCAGAGAGAAAAAAATGGAAAGGCATGAAGGAGGTTGAGTGGTGACTTGGTGGTGATCTTTGACGAGTGAAAAAAGTAGGAGAAGATGCTAATGGTAAGGGATGGTAAGGGAGGATGGAAATGAATGAAACGAGGCTCTCGGGGCTCTTGAAGCATTATTGGTCTTTTTGCTTTTTATATAGACATACTAATTTCTTTTGGTTTCTAAGACACGCACAAAAAAAAAGAGCTTTTTATAGGTTTTTTTTTTTTGAGCTCCCAAACACAAAAGAATTGTACCTAAAAACAAACTCACACAATATAAACAAATTCTTACACAATATGCATGTGCACTGCATATGGAGAATGACCATATTTTGGCAAACTCCACCCTTGAGCCACTTGGGCGGATGACCAAAGCAAATATGGTTAATAATGTGCTTTGATTCCATCCTCAGTTACATTATCCTTAGTTCCTAGCCACTAAGTGGACTGGAGCAATTTTACAAGCTATTGGATTTCTTATTACAAGCAAATATAACTTTATTATATGTATAATTTTATTCATGTAGACCAATTTAATATATAAATACAATTGTGTACGTGAATATATATTATATATCAAACATTGGAAGAAGAAGCATAATAACCAGACAAAACCATAGTTACCCTCCGGCAATCCCCTATTGAACTGCAAAATTTAGTGTTTCAGAATGGTATAGTCTAGTTGTCTATTCTTGAATTTTATGAGACTACATAATAATATGGGCAGAAGAAACATTGGATACTCTTGTCCAAGTCTCACTTGAGTTCTCCCTTAGACATGTTTGTATGCATATCAATTTGTCGTTTTACTCTTACTTTATTCTTTGTTTTCTTTCAAGACCTTTTTAGTTGTCGCTCATATTTTTCCTCAAATATCTATTTATACTTGATTTTAAGTAAATGAAGGGCGAATTGCTTAGAATGTCGATGTTATGAAGAAAATCTGTCAAATATGATTGTCTAAAGTCGGTGTTCTTGTTCTATGGCCATTGTGTGTGGCTGGATTTCCCCCCCCCCCCCCGAAACTACTAGCTAGTCGTCGCGCCTAGTACTCTTTGTTCCAAATGCGAACTGACTCGTTGCGCCTAGTACGCACGATAAGCCAGAAAGGACAATCTGTCAGGAGCAGGGACGTAATTGTCAAGCAAAAGTTTTAGGGGTGTTAGTGTAATTAGCTTAGGGAGCCAAAAACAGTTAAAAGTTAGCTATAACAGAATTTGTTAGCATCAGATCATTGCACAGAAATTCTGTGTCAATTGGATTCGAATCCATCATTGGAATTGTATAAATCCAAGACAATGTAATGGATTGAAGGACAAGTAATACAATTACAATTTTTTTCTCCCAAATTCTCACATTCTCTCTCTCTCTCTCCTACCTCTTCCCTCCCTTTCTGTTCTTTCCTTCATTCAAATCTCCCCAGAACCTGCTGGTCGCAATTCCTTTTCAGTCCTATTTTGGAAGAGCCTGACAAATTGGTATCAGAGCTGCGCGATCCTTCGGCAGCTCAGAGACCAATCAATGGCAGAGAGTACACGCTTCAAAACCTTAGAAGATCATCTCCGGAAGCAGGAACTCAAGTTACAGGAAGTTATGGAGGATATGAAGAATATACAGCTACAAGCAAAGGAAGAAATGGCAGGCAGGGATAAGAGACTAGATTCGATTGCGCTAGGTATGGATCAGAAGTTTGAGGCACTCAGTTCAATGATGAAGACACTACTGAGCAAGGAGAAAAGTGCAGAAGGAGAAGGCAAAGCTGGCAGAGATCGTACACCATTACTACCTACACCTCCCATACACCAGAGGCTGACCTTGGGAGCAGATGAGGAAGTTAGGAGTTGCGAGTTCATGGGTAAGATTCTTGGCTATAATCCTCCAAAAATTGAGTTACATATGTTTAGCGGGGAAAATCCTAGGGAATGGATCAAAAAATGTAATAAGTACTTCCTGTTGAATAAGGTAACCAAGGAACATAAATTGCTAGTAGTCGAGATGTTTTTAGAAGGTAGAGCGGATAATTGGTTCCAGGGAGTCAAATTAGAAAAACCAAGGCTAACATGGGGGGAATTTGAGGAGCTGCTTTGTCAGAGATTCAAGGGAACATGCTGTAGAGATATTGTAGAGGAATTCAATAAACTGCAGCAGATGAGTACAGTGGAGATCTACCAAGAAAAGTTTAAGGAGTTAAAAACATTGATGCTAATTCAAAATCCAAGCCTTAGTGAAGGATACTTCATCTCCAGTTTCACCAGTGGTCTCAAGGAGGAGATGAAACCTATGGTGAGAATGCTCAAGCCAAATACTCTTTCTGGAGTTATGGAGGTAGCTCATTTGCAGGAACAGGCTCTCAGGTTGCAAGGCAGGACAGTCAAGGATGGCAACAAGGTGGTGGCTGAACCAAAGTTTGGAATGTACAGTAATCCAACCTCTGCCAATGGGGGAATCAGTACTTACAAGCTACCACAGAACAACATGCCTAGGGTAGCTCCCAAAAATCCAGACAAGAGTCCAGAGTTTAAGAGACTATCCCCTCAGGAACTGCAGTTCAGAAGAAGTAATGGATTGTGTTTTAAGTGTGGGGAGAAATTTGGGGTAGGACATCAGTGCCGGATGAAGCACTTGAACCTTATGATGTATGAAGATGAGGAGGACACTAAATTCCAGGATGCTCAAGGGGAACAGGATGAGCTGACTGGAAATCCAGGAGAACCAATCGAAATTTCACTCAATGCTCTATCAGACTCACTCAGGCGAAATACTATCTTGTTGCAAGGACAGTTGGCAGATACAGGTAGCAGTGATAGCTATATCCATCACAGCCTGGTGTCTGCACAAGGCATTCCCTTTGAATATGTCAAGCCTTTCACTATCATAATGGGGGATGGGAGCTTGGTAACCAGTGGAGCTCAGTGTCCCAAGGTCCTGTGGAATGTTCAGAATAATAAGTTTTGCTTTGACCTCAGAATTATGGAACTAGGTGATTGGGATATTATTTTGGGGGTAGATTGGATGTACCATTACAGCCCCATCACTTTTGATTTTCATCAACTAAAAATCTCTATGTTCCATCAAGGAGAGGTGGTCACATTGCATGGAGTAGTTAATGATGCAACCATGGAACTTATTAGGAGGAAGGATCTCAGAGGTTTTTTGCAAGAGAAGAGGAGGTGTTGTGCTGTTTCAGCACAAAATGGAGAACCAGACACAGGGGAGCCAGGGCTTCCAGAACCAATTACTGCAGTTTTGCAGCAATTCTCAGAAGTATTTCAGGAACCTACTCAGTTGCCTCCCAACAGGCCCTTGGATCATCAAATTCCCCTAAAGCCAGGAGCACAAGCCTTTAAAATGAAACCATATAGATACCCTCACTCATAGAAAACAGAGATTGAAAAACAAATAGCAGATATATTGAAATCTGGAATCATCAAGCCAAGCAATAGTCCTTATGCTTCACCTATGCTATTGGTCAAGAAAAAGGATAACACTTGGCGTTTTTGTGTGGATTACAGGCATCTCAATGACTTGACAGTCAAAGACAGATATCCTATCCCCAACATTGATGAGCTGCTGGATGAGCTCTATGGAGCCAAGTTCTTCTCCAAAATTGACCTTAGATCAGGTTACCACCAGATCAGAGTTAAGCTGGCAGATACACACAAAACAGCCTTTCAGACTCATCAAGGGCACTATGAGTTCCTAGTGATGCCATTTGGGCTCACAAATGCACCAGAAACATTCCAGGCATTGATGAATCAGGTTTTTGAGCCATTCTTAAGGAAGTATGTCCTGGTCTTCTTTGATGACATTTTGGTCTGCAGTGCTACCCTGGACTTTCATAAGGAGCACCTAAAACAAGTACTAGAGGTGCTTCAACATAACCAATTGTATGCCAAGTTATCCAAGTGCTCTTTTGCCTAGCAAGAAGTGGAGTATTTGGGGCATGTAGTGTCCAGTACAGGAGTAAGTATGGACAGGAGCAAGGTGGAATGCATACAGTCATGGCCTACCCCTAAAAATATTAAAGAACTCGGGGGGTTCCTCGGCCTCACAGGTTACTACAGACGTTTCATAAAGGGTTATGGAACAATCAGTAAGCCCTTGACGAATCTGCTAAAGTAGGATGCCTATGACTAGAATGCAGAATCTTACAAGGCTTTTAGTTGCCTTAAGCAGGCCATAATTAGTGCTCCTGTGCTCAGACTGCCCAATTTTGGTATCCCCTTTGTGGTGGAAACTGATGCTAGTGGGCAAGGCATGGGAGCTATACTCTTACAGGAGGGTCATCCTATAGCATTCATCAGTAAAGCATTCTCCCTCAAGAACATGGGGTTATCTGTCTATGAGAAGGAACTGATGGCATTGGTGTTTGCAATGACCAAGTGGAAGCATTATCTAGTAGGGAACCACTTCATCATCAGAACAGATCACAAGTCATTGAAATTTTTGCTAGAACAAAGATTGACCACTACTGCTCAGTATAAATGGCTGACAAAGCTTCTAGGCCTGGATTATGAGATTCAGTATAAGAGGGGTTCAGAAAACACTGTTGCTAATGTATTATCTAGAAGGACCATGGGGGAACTACAACCTGAACCACAACAGTTGATGGCCATTACTGGTGTTCAACCTCTGTGGATGCAAGAGTTGGAGGACAGTTACTTTGAAGACACACAGTGTAGAGAATTAATGAGTCAACTACTGCTGGATCCTACACCACAGGACTCTGATTTTCAGCTCAATCAAGGGATACTCAGGTATAAAGACAAGCTATTTGTAAGGAATGGCAGGGGAATTAAGCAGAAAATAATCAAAGCTCTGCATGAATCCCCTATTAGAGGGCATTCTGGCCAGAGGGCATGTATACAGAGGGTGCAAAGCATATTTCACTGGCCAGGAATGAAGAAAGAGATCATACAATTCACACAAGAATGTGAAGTCTGTCAAAGGAACAAAAGTGAAAGGGTTCCCTATCCAGGATTACTGCAGCCACTACCAATTCCTACCCAAGCTTGGTCGCACATCACTATGGACTTTATTGAAAAGCTACCTTGCTCTAGGGGATTTGACACTATTCTGGTAGCCATAGATAGACTGACAAAGTTTGGCCA